TCCGACAGGAGTGGGGACAGTTCATTCAGAGAGATAAGGGAAGCCGAAGAATCTGGGGACAGTGCAGGCTTGTGGGCAGACTTGGTGGAGGGGTCACAGGGGAAGACTGGACGGATAGTTTCCTCAATGGACTAGGAGGTAAGGCCGCCCCTGAATGTGCAGGGCCGGAGGTCGAGGGCTGTAGATTAGAGTAGAGAGAGGATATGGCACTGCCATTTTGGAGCGTGCGCTAGGATTGCAGGGCAGGGTGAGACGCCCCTCGGAGATCTCTGGCGGTGGACTGACGACGAGAGTTGACACACACTGAAGCCTGTGCTGTTGGGCATCAGCGCCCAGCTGTGCTGGCATGGAGCAGGCGGACAGCAGGGCTTCACCAGGGTTGGACGTCGCCAGCGGAGTGGGACAGAGGGAGAAGAGGGTGTTTGCAAGTAAATCAGCGCAAGAGAGGATAAACAAGACAGAGCTGTCTGCAGCTTAATTTTGCTCAGTGGTAATTGAAAACATTTTTATTTTTTTATTTTAAAACAAATATGGATTCATTCTGGAGTAGAATGAAAAAACACAGGAATTTTTCAGATAACTCAGCAGACTTCAAATACAGTTTTCCTGTTTAAAGTGCCACTTCCAGCTACACTTAACCTCCTGGTCCTCGTGAGGTGAATTCACTCTTGTTGGAAGTTTGGGAACCTTTGGAAAAGTCTGGGAAGCCCTGTCCTGCTGGTGTGATCCCCTGACCCCTGAATAGCACCCTGGCTTTTCACAGGTGACAATATTGATAGAGTAGGAGGGTCTGGGGACTAGATCAAGACCCTTCCAGGGATGGGGTGGGTGCTGGAGGGGTAGGGTGGGGGTGGCTGACCTGATGCTGGCCAAAGAGTCCAGTCTAGAGGCCACACATGTCAGAGTCCGGGTAGCGTGTGGGGAGGGGCGAAATTGAGATACAACAGATTCCTCCCCTCTCCACTACCCCATCTCCCTAGGACCCCAAGGGTCCAGGCAAGTGACTCCAGCAGACTGGGTCCCAGGAACCAAGTCAGGGACCTGGATCCCAGAACTGGGGCACAAGGTGTGGATGGGGTATTGGGAATGAGGCCAAAGCCCAGTTATCAGAACTGGGACACTTTTCATGTGGGACTTGTGTTCCTTGCATCCCTCCTGCATAGATCCTGGGAAATGGGCTGTGCCCGAGCCTGGGGACAGGCAGAACCTCTAGGGCTGAGTGAGGCTTTGGGCCAGTCTGGGACAGGCATCTCCTCTGCCTTTACCTGCAGCCCTGCTGAAAATAGCCCACTCTTCCTACCCGGCACCCCCAAGGGACCCCAACCCCTGCAAAGGAGAGCCTCAGCATAAACAGCATGTTTATTTTGAACATTCAAATTTACAAAAACAAAAAGGTAACAAAAACCATGACAGAGGTCACACGCACACACATACACATACACACCCGCACGTTGCATCTCATGTCACTTTATGTACAAAATTGGGGGGAGAGAGGAAGGTGGGGCTGGGCAGGGCTTGTCAGTAGGGTGCACTAATGTCACAGTGTCAGATGACTTACATGCTCACTCACGTTCAGTCTCGGCCCACATGAGCCCCTTCCCTAGCCAGGCGTCAGGGGTCAGGGGTCAGGGTGGGAGGTAGGGTCTAGGGTGGCAGGCAGCTGGAATAAGGGGGTGAAGAGAGTGATCCCATCTCTGGGAGGCAGCCCCTTCCCCAGTTTGCTCAGGCCAAGGGTGCTGGGATGTGTAGACGAGGAGGGACCCAGTTCTGGGAGGGGGCCGCCATGTCCTGGAGAGAGCGGAACACGGTCAGGAAGCCGGGCTCCTGTCCCCACGTCCAGCTGGGTGGCCTTGAGGGTTGCTCACCTTCCCCAGGCCTCAGCTTCCTCATCTCTAAAATGAGAGCCTTGGTCCCCACTAAGTGCCCTTCCTGCCCAAATCTGTGGTCCTACGTCGTGCAAAGTTGTGGCAAGGAGATATGTGCCCTTGGGACGTTGGTGGGGGCACCACATGCCACAGAGACTGGAAAATCTGGCAGATAACAGCTGTGAAGCACCTGGCACAGGGCCCAGGCCAAAGCAGGACTTTAAGGAACAGCAGTTTCCCTCCCCTTCCCTGCCTGGGACTCTTGGGGGATACACAGCTTCCTTTTCCTTTTTAGCTCTCCTAGAAACTCCAACTGAGTTAGAGAAGGGCTGAGCCCCCTCCCACAGCTTCACCAAGGGGACCCTGGCCCTGGGCCTGGCCTGTCCCATGCCTCTGTTCCTCTCCCTCAAACCCGTGGGCTGGTGAATGGCATCGGGCACATCCCTGCAGGCCGAAACACACCAGGAGCAGTGGTGCCCAAATCCTGCTCTACGCAGCGTTAGGGGTACTCGTCCCCTCTGGCTGGGGGTGGGCCCTGAACATAACCTGCTTTGGTCTGAAATCTGGGCTCCATCCCCTGCTAGCTGATTGGCACTGGGCAGGTTACATCACTTCTCTGTGCCCCAGTTTCCTCACCTGTATAACGAGGCTAAGAGCAGGCCAAACTCATAACTGTGTTGTGAGGATGAACGAGATGATGCCCGGCAGGCGCTTACACATGGCACAGCAAACGCGGGCCCCACCCTCGTCATCGGCCAGCACCGCTCAGGACGCGGCGGAGCACCATTTCCAGCTCCTCTTTCCCTGTCTTCGCGGACGCGCCCAGGGGCAGCAGACGATATCAGAGCTGGAGTCCAGACAGCAGGCGCTCGGGGCACATGCACAGAACAGGGAACAGATGAAGGATGGGAGGACTTTGCAAACAGGGAGCCGGGCCCGTCATCAATGAGCCAGACGCAGGGCCCACACCCCAACAGCTCCAATTTGTTCCTGGTCTCTCTAGAGGGCTGACCGGGGTGACTCAGTACGGGAACGAGGCTCAGATGTCGCATGTCTCATCATCACTGTGACAATTATAAAGGACCTGGGGTGGTGTGTCTAGGTGGGCTCAAGTGACCAAGCAAGTGCTGTCACCTCCCTCCTAAGACCCTACCCTTCTCTAACAGCCACCTCTTGGGAGAAGCTACCTACTTCGCAACGTAACAGAAACAAAGCTCAGCGTCCCTGAAATCTAAGCTCCAAATTCTGCCGTCACCCTAGCAACAGAGCATGTCATTATGATGAGACACTTGACCCAGCACTTGGGCTGATGTCATCGGCTGTTACCGGGGCAACCCAGATCTCCGCAGGCCTGGCTGAAGCCCGCCATCGCTCTTTCTTCCGAGGGGAGTTGGACCGGAGGTGCCGAGCAATGTATTTGTGCTCTCGAAATGGAAACAAGGATCTGGGGCCCAGAGGCAACAAGTCTTGGAGAAGCTTCCATGGCACTGGGCCCCACAGCCTGCAGCTCTTGCGTCATGTCTCAGGCTAAGTGGCTACAGGAAGTAGAGATAGGGAACAAAAAGGGGGCAAGAGGTACCAGTGCCCACTTGAGTCAGGAAACCTGCAGCTGCTCAGACACCTGGTAGGTGACTGGCAGGGGAGAGGCACCTGTGTGCCCAGCTCTCCACTCTGCCACAGTGCCCAGGGATCAGAACCTCCTTCCTGCACTTCCTGCAGGGGTTGCCAAGATGTCTGGGTGTTACATAAAGGAAGACGTTCCAGGTGTCATGTTGAAAAGCATTCTGGCCTCTCAGATGTCCACCCTCTTAGGTGTTGGACTCAAAGACCCTCAGAGACAGGCAGCATGGTGTAGGGGGAAGAGCACAGAAGAGTTCCAAGATGCCCTGGGTTCTAGTCCTGGCTTTGCCCCATTGTGCTGTGTGATCCTGTGCAAGACACTTGCCCTCTCTGAGTTCTTCCCCATCTCTCACAAGCAAGAGGTCAGTCTGGCTAGCTTTTCTCAGCTCTGATGTTCGTACACTCTCTTGGGGGAGCTGGTGAAGACTCCAAGGGGAGGACTGGGAAGCCATCAGTCCTTTGAGCCACTCTCAGACAGACGAGGGTGCCAGGCTGGAGGGATCCATGTGTGAGGTTGGTCTGCCTTCAATGTTGTCCTTGACCCTGACTCTTTGGAGCCAGCTGCTGACCCTAACCCATGACTAGCTGATCCCATCTGCTGCCCAGTCCCAGGACCTGCCAGTGTCACCAGATGGGTTTCCAGGCTTTCTGCCCCCATCCACCTGGAATCGCAGACCATCTCACATTCTATCTGGAGAGCGCTTTGAAATGACCAAAGTAAGGGCCTCAGCTCACGAATGAGGAAGGCCAGGCCCAGAGAGAGCAGGGACTTACAGAAGGCGACACAGCAGGTCAGCAGCACGGCTGGCTGGGAACCAAGGGCTCCTCTCGCCCGTGCTCTGCCCACCCCTCCATGCTTCTCCCCAGCCTCTCAGCTCCTTCCTTCCCTCCCCAGGGCCATGCAGAGGGGGCAGGTAATGTGACTCTGTGAGGGGCAGGGTCTCCTGGGCCACAGTACCCCTGCCTTAAGCTGCTCCCAGCCCAGGCTGAAGGGGCCCAGGCCCTGTCCTTGGCACGGGGTGGGGGGTGTGACTGCGCCAGTGGCCATGGCTATGGGTGAGCACAAGAGGTGACCAGGCCCTTTGGCCTCCCAGGATCTTGGTCTCTAGCCCTGCAGGCTGGAACTGGGAAGGGAGTATCCTGGAAACAGGTGGGGCTGCGCCAGGCAGGGAACCGACATTCAAACCACCACACACAAAGAAAGGCGGCAAGAGGAGGAGGAGGCAGGGTGTGGGCCGGCTGAGTGGGGGAGGCTCCATCCAGACCCTGCTGCCCTCGCCTGGCAGCTGGCGGGAAGACGGAGGAGGGCGAGTCTGGTCTCCTATGTCTCTGACACACCCTTCTACAGCCGGTCGTGGTCCTCAAGGGGAAGGGGCCAGGGCTGCTGTGTGGGGACAAGGGGGCAGATGGCCACCCCACCACTGAGAGAGTGGGCCCTCCCCACACAACAACCCTGTGAGGGATGCCGTGGGGATTAGTGGAATCCGATGTGACTGATGGGACCGGTGGGGGGGAACAGACGACTCCAGTGCAATGCCAGGAGGGTGGGCAGAGCCTCGGCTCACCCCAGGCTCCACCTGGTGACTTGAGATGCTTGTCCCCATCAGGTGGGGTGAGGGGACACGCTCACAGGACAAGGCATTCTGGGCGTGTGGGTATAGGTGAGGGGAAATGGAGGCACGGCCAGGAGAAGGGCAGGAGGGAAGGCCAGTGCGTGGGCAGGCTGAGGAGAAGATGTGCCCCCCTCAAGGTCCCCAAAGTGGCAGGCAAGCGAGGGGCCCTAGATGAGGTGGCCCCTCATGCCTTGGCCCTCCCCTTGCAGACATCGAAGGCAGCCTTCGTTGCACCGCCAAAGGCCTCCACCAGCTTGTCTTCCCAGGGAAGGACGTTGCCCAGCAGTGGCCCAGTGCAGTTGGCAATGCCCATCACCTGGGTAGGTGTCAGGGCGTGGTCCCACACGTTAAACTGGGCAATGTCACCGACGAAGGCCTGGGTGGCATCAAACCGGCCACCCAGGGTATCCTGGGCCAAGAGAGCAGCAGAGAAAGGAGAGACACGAAGTGAGGGAACAGAAAAGACAGGCAGGCACTCAGAGAGCCAGATGCCACCCAGGCTGAAGCCCCGCCTCTGTTCCCACTGAAGCCCCGCCCCTAAGGCTCAGCCCCACCCCCAAGGCTCTAGCTCCTGGGGCATGTCTCTGCCCTCTCTGGCCCTCAGTCTGCCCATCTGCAGAGTGGTGTGGTTCAGCCAAACACCAGCCCGAGCCTTACCTGCTCCTGGCCCAGGATAAGGATCCCGTGAGGCTTGATGGGGTGCCAGGCAGCCAGGTTCTCGCCGGAGCCCTGCAGCTCCCCGTCCTGGTAGGCAGACCACAGGCCATCCCTCGTGGTCCAGGCGATGCAGATGTGGTGCCAGCCATTGTCCTTCAGGCTCAGGGGCAGCTGGGCCACCTGGACACAGGTCCCCCAACCTCAGGTCAGAGGTGCCACAAGGCCCAAGGCTGGAGTAGCAGGGTGGGGGTGGGGAGACCCATGTCCTTCCCTCCAGGGAGTGACCCAAGGCGTCACTTCACTCTCTCCTTCCTCCCGGCCCAGCGTCTCTCCTTGACTCTTCTCCCCTTTTTCCTCACGGGCCAAATCAAGCAGCTCCACTCAGATCACAAGGGACTATGCGGTTTTGGTTTCCAGTTGTTTCTAGATAGTTTACTCACTCTCTAACAGGCCCGTGAGGTCATGCAGGGCGGAAGCAGGGCCTCACAGTCCTATCCTCCCCTGAACACCTCACACAGGGCCCCCCGCGACTGGGGCTCAGGAAGTACTGGCAGTGGCAGAGTGAGCCTTGGATTCAGAGGCCAGGCACTGGCGTCTGGCCCTGGCTCTGCCACCAACCCCCTTTGTGACCTTGGCGAGGCTGCTCTTTCCTCCCTGGGCTCTTTCCTCATCTGTAAAGTGAGAAGGTCAAACGGGATGGCAAACACGCAGCCACTGCCTCTTCCTCCACCCAAGGCAGACATGGCTAATCAATCACGAGCCTAGACTCAGCCTCAGACTTTCTCACCACATGCTCTAAGAAGCCACTGCTGATTGATTCGAGTTGGCCTGTGCGATGAAAGGTACTTGCTGTCTGTGGATTTGGTGCTCCCAAAGGGCTCTTTTGCCTCATAAGTTCTCTGAGATCACAACTTAATATAACATTCTCTGAGGCCTGTTTAGTGCCAGGCCTCGTTCTGGACACTGGGGATATGGATCTGGTCTGGGCCTTAAATGAGCTGAGTTGCCCGGGAGGGAAGGATTTCAGGGACGACACCGAAGACAAAATAACATAGGGGCCATGAGGGAGGTACAAAGGCTGTGTGAAGGCCCAGGAGGAAGCGGGGGACGTGGGAACAGAAGGCACGTTATCTGGAAGGACAACAGAACCTGACCCTTCCGCTGCTGTGCATACCAAGGGCGGGCACGGCACGGGCAAAGGCTTAGGGACTGGAATAAAAGGGGAACAGAGAGCAGTCTGTGAGGTTGGCTCTCAAAAGGACTCCGGAGGTTCCCAGGATAGGGCTGCGCAGTGCCCTGTCCAGGGTGCTGAATCCCCGCTAATGGGAACTGCGTGCTGAACTTGGGCAAAGCCAAGGACGGCAGCCGGGGGGTGATGAAGGGAACAGGGTAGCAGGACCAAGATGTGGCCCAGCCACCGGGGGGTTGTAGGGCTTATTGATCCACAAGAAAAATTCACTACCCTCTGGGCCCATCCCCCTCCTCCTCCTCCTCCTCCAGGACGCCCATGAAAGGCACCTTCTGCTGAGCTGCGTTCTGATGGTGTCAGCCACTCCTAGTGGCTCTTTATGGCTGTGGGCTAGTCACAGGTGGGTGTGATATGTGGCATCTACATTTCCAGGGAGGTCTCAATAGATCATCACGCCTGCAAGGCCCAAAGCGATGTTTCAGGTGGCAGGGGGGGTCTTTCGGGAGGGGATGAGGACGGTAAGATGCTCCCCTCTCTTCCCCCTCAATATCATGTCCTGCCACATCACTCCCCCCACCCAAGGTCTGTCCTTGTCCTGCCTTTCAGCCAGGCCAGGGTGGCCCAAGGGCAGAACAGGGCAGAGGTTACAAAGTGGTTTCTGGAGCCCAAGACCTGAATCGCAGCATCACCCCTTCACCAGCTGTGTGGCCAGGGTGCATGATTTCCCCTTCTGGAGCCTCAGCTTCTCATCTGCAAAATGGGAAAGTCCAGGCTGATAGGGCGAGTAAAGTGCTGATTAGCACAGTGCCCGGCACAATGCAAGTAGCTCGCTCAATGCTGGGCTCCGCTCAAAACCCTCTGCATGTGTTTAAGCCACTTATTTCTCACTACAGCCCTATCAGCCAGGGGCTGCTATCATTCCTGCTTTACAGACGAGGAAACTGAGGCACAGGGTGGGTAAGTGACTAATCTATGGTCACATAGTGGTTACAGTGCAGAACCAGAACGCAAGTCCAGCATTCAGGCCCAGAGCCTGTCCCCTGCACCACTCTCCATGGTGAGGAGGGGCAGAGGAGCCGGCTCCCAGGGAGTAGAAGGGACAAGGAGTCCACCAGCACTCCCCTCCCCCTAGGTGGGTCCTTGCACCTCACTTCCTTCCTTCTACATCCAGGAGAATGAGCAGGGCCTTGGGGCAGACACCTCAGCCCTGCCCCCACAGCCACACTGGGGAAGTCCCACGAGCCTCACTTGCCTGCTCTGTAAAATGGGAACGACATTTACAGCCTCTGTTGGACACAAGCCCCTCTGCAGCCAGCCCCATGTCTAGGTTGTCTTTGTATTCCCAGGACCTGTCCTGAACACAGTAGGCACTTAATGTGTGCTGAATATGCTGAGTGGGAGAATGAGGAGAACTGACCCAGGTTTGGGCTCAGCATAGAGCAGGTGCCCCTGGAAGGGTCGCCGTCCCCGCCACTGCCCACCTTGTCGTTGATCAGCAGCTCCATGGGTTCGTGGCCCGCCTCCAGCAGCACGATCTCGTTGGCCTGCCCGGGCACCGAGTAGGAGAAGGGGGTGCCCTGGCCGGTGCCGCCCGACCGGGACCGCAGCCACATGCAGGCGGTGAACGCGTAGAGCTCGGGCAGTGCCTTCCGCACGCGGGCGTACATGTAGTTGTTGCGGAAGGGGATGCTGACCTTGAAGGCGTCCGGGGGGCTGTAGGCTGAGGACCCTGAGGGTGGCAAGGCAGACACGTCGGGGTCGGCGGACTCTGACAAGGGCGGGGTGGGCAGGGCACACTCCAGAACAAGAGCTGACCATTCCTGGGCACCTGCTGCGCGCCAGGTGCCTTCAGGGACTTCTCTGCTCTGCCTCGGTGTTGACGGGCATGATTAAAGCCCAAGGGCTCTGGATCTGAGTCATTCCAAGTTCGAATCCCGTCTCCGCCACTTCCCAGCCACGTGATCTTCACCAAGTTAAACTTAACCTCTCTGGGCCTCAGTTTCCTCAGGAACATGAGGGAACACTACTTCCTCCCTCCAGGTTGGGTGAGGGTTGAGGGGACGGAGTGTGTAAAGGGCCTGGCCCACAGTAAATGCTCAATCAATGTTAGCTGTGATGATGACCATCATTTTTTAGAGTTTTTTTCCTGTTTAATGAGCATTATATATATAGTGCCTTCTATGTGGCTGGCACTGTTCTAAGCACTTTTATAATACATTATTTCATTCCTTGTAACAGCCATGTGAGGTGGACACTATTATAATCCTCATTTCACAGATGAGGAAACCTTGCGCAGAGAGGTTAAGTAATCTTCTCAAGGCCACACAGCTAGTAAGTGGCAGAGCTGGGATCTGAACAGAACAATCTTGGGACTCCCTGGTCTTCAAGGTGTCTTCCAACTCAAGAGTTTCTGGCATTCTATGTCTTGAATATCAGACGGCTTTCTGCAGGGGGTAGATTGGAGAGTCACTGCGTCCAAGGGGAGGGGACACACCCACCACACACACCTCCAGGGTAGGGGTCATGGGCACTGCCATCTGCCTGTCACTTCACCATTCCCAGTTCCTGGAGAATCCCCTCCCCCGGCTGGTTAGTATGAGCTGGGGGTTCTGGGCTGGGGCCAGGGATGTGGACCCAGGGTTCCTGGACCCAGCTGGGGCTTGGGGAGAAGGCTGACGGGATGCATCATGGTAGGAGAGGAAGGTGCTCACTGACAGCCACTCTAAACCTATTTCTTAGATGAGAAAGTTGAGCCCCAAGAAGGGAGGTGACTTGCACAGGGGCAAACAGATGTCCAACTGGGTGACCTCCCTCCCTCTGCCCTGCAGCCTCGTGAGTGGGCATTTCCCCTGATCCTTTAGGAGACTCCATTAGAGGGACAGGTGGCAGGACTGAGTAGGATGGAGGCTGCTGCTCCTGTCTCTGTGCTGCAGCCAGGATGCTGCCCCCAGCCCACCAGGCCTGTCCCTCCCCTGCCGCTGTGCCCTGCTATGGCCCCTCCACTCCAAACTTTGGTCTCCACCTCTGCTTTTGAGAACTAGCTTGAGGCCTACCTCCTCCAGGAAGCTGCCTGGATTTTCTCCTCCTGAACTCCTGTTCCCCATCTAAGCCAGTGCCAGATAATTGCTCATGGTTCCCCCAAGTCTATAAGCCTCTTAAGAGTGGTCCTCGCAAGATTTCAAAGCCAGAAGGTCCCCATGAGTCCTAACCCCCTAATTGCCAAAAAACTGAGGCCTGGGGAAAGGGAGTGACCTTCCAAGGTCACAGAGCAAGCCAGTGACAGCCGTGGAACCAGAAGCCAGGTCTCCTCATGCTCATATCTGTACATGTCTGTTATGTTTCTCTGACTCCCTGGCAGTGCCAGGCCCAGGTGGTAAACAAATGTCAAAATCCCAACTGATTCATTGCAGGTGCTATTTTGAGTGGGGTTAGATGCGTGACCATGGGGTCACACCTGCTTTGAGGTCTAGATCCACCACTTATTGGCTGTGTGGCCTTGAGCAAGTCACCTGACCTCTCTGAGCCTCAGATTTCTCACATGTAAAAACTGTGAAGATTAAATCAGCTGATGGCTCAAGTACTTAGCCCAATCCCAGGACATAGAAAGTGCCAGAAAATGGTAACTGTTAATAATAACTTTGATAACGATAATATCCCCCAATTACTCTCTCCATCTTGTGTTCCACAGCTCACCCTCCCATCCAGCATTAGCCTCTGGACAGCAAGAACGTGTTTTGTGAGTGGATCTGTCACCCCAAGGACCCCGCCAAGGACCCCTCCAAGGACACCACGCCCTCCACGGGGCCCAGACCCACCGTGCTCCAGCTCGGCCAGGCGGTCCTGCAGGGCGTCCAGCTCCTTCTCCACCTCCTGCCGCTGCCGGCGGCTGCTGTGACTGAGGGCCGCACGCTCCTTCTCCAGCGCCAGCACCTGGGCCAGCAGCTGCCCCTCTAGCTGGTCCATCTTGGAGTGCAGGGCGGTGGGCGCCACGGGGGCAGGGGCTGGGGCAGTCGAGAGGTTCGCACGGGCTGGGAGCTCCTGCTGCTCATGGGGCAGAGACAGAGGGGCATGAGAGGTCACCTCGGGGGAGGAGGGATAGGCACGGGGCACCGAGATGCCCACTGCCCCTGCTCAGTGACCCCCACACGCAAAGTGGGGATGGCAATGCCAACCGCAGGTGACAGATGCGTCTCGGGTGGCTGTTCCTGGTGCTGGTGCATCACAGCGAGCAGCGGGCAGAGCTGGCCCCTGGCCCCGAGGACCGCTCGGCCTGTGGCGGGGGTGCAGGGCCGAGCCATGGAGGGCTGTGAAGGCTCCCAGGTGGTTCCTGAGTGCAGTCAGGATTGACAGCCACTGTCCTAGTCCTTCCTAGCTGCAAGGCTGGAAACTAACTGGCCGGTAAAGGGGCGGCCTGTCGTAGTCTTTGCTCGTTCACTCACCGGCTCCTCTGAAACGGGACTGTGCACAAGGCTCTGTGTGGGCACTGGGCAGACCCAGGGACACAAACCAGGGGCTTCTGGAGCAAGACTTCAGTGGCCTGGCCGTTCCAGGGTGGCAGGTGGTTAAAATCACATACTGTGGAGCCAGACAGCCAAGGGTTCAAATCCAGCTCGGGAAGCAACCTGCTGTGTGACCCTGGGAAAATCCCTTGACTTCTCTGAATTTGTTTACTCACAGGACAACTGCACCTATTTGGAGGGCTGTGGGGAGGATAAAGTGGTAAATGCCAATAAACAGAGCCTGCTTATTGTCATTACTGGCTAGGGCAGAGTGTTCTTGGGTGGGCTCTGACACCCCCATCCCCAGCCCAGGATGAGGACAAAGTGCTTAGAGTCCCCCCTGCCCCCATCCTGTCTTAAAGGCTCCAGTGGGCAGGAGACTGGGGCAGGACGTGGAGAGGCCTCTCCTTCCCCATCTCCTGCTGGAGGAAGCCCCTTCTGGGGTGGAGGAAGGCAGATGAGGCCACTGTTTCAGACTCTTGGAGGGAACAGTCTCTGGCGGACATGTCATGGAAACATCAGTAGGAGATTAATAATTCAATGAGCTGCTAGGAGCCAAATTAGACCTTCGCCCTGGCTTCCCCACCCCCTCCAAGGTCCCCACTGCCTCCGCACTCCCCAGGGCCTGGGAAGTTCCCACTCAGCCTGGCCCTGGGCCGTGTCTTGAGGCTTCGGCCCCAGACGTGAGCTCACTGAGTTCTCGTGATCCACTCGCTGAGTGATGCTCAGTGAGCGCCTGCCGTGGGCTGGGCCCGCCCCGGGTGCGGGGACACAGCTGAGGGCAAAACAGAAAACCAAGAGCAGCACATCTCCCGGTGTCCTGAGCCTTGAAGGCTGGCCCTGCAGCCTGGGGCAAGTGCCAGAGACCCTCCCATCCTTACGGGCCCAGGTCTGGTCTTGCCAGTCATTTGCTGGGTGACACTGGCAAGTCCCTTAACCTCTCTGAGCCCATTTTCTAGCCATGTGACAAGGGGATACAAGTGTCCCCTGCATCAAGGTGGTGGAGAGTCGAGTGCCACTGCCATGCTCAGTGCCCGAGACACAGGAGCTGCCACTGTGGACAGCGATGTGGCCTCAAGCTGAGGAGTTGGAGGGACCAACACCAGGCTCTGCCGCTGCACCCCAAGGGCGCTGGCAGGTGGGGTAACTCCTCTGGTGTCATTTTTCTTCTTCTATAAAATGGGTGCTTGGAAGGCCCAGCTTGCCGGGCTGTGGTCAGGATTAAATGATGGTGCGTGGGGGAGGGCCCGGCCCAAAGCCTGGCCCGGTGGTGTCAAGGACATGGTTTCGGGTGCTTGGGGTGGGCGGGAAGACTTGAATGGGATGCTCTTAGCTGTGGTCTGAGCCCCCGCAGGCACCTTGCAAATGTTCACTTGCTGAATCTGCTTAATGCGCCTGTGCTGTAGGGACCACCAGTGTCCCCGTTTCACGGGCAAGAAACTACGGTGACGGAGTCACCCGAGATCGCGCCAGGGGCAAGCAGCGGAACTGGGACCGAGCCTGGCAGGTTGGCCTTCCCATCTCCTCTGCGTCACTCACCGCGTGGCTCCTCTTGGCCCCTGCCGGTGGCGCCTCTGGAAGCCCTTCCCTCTCTGTCCCACCTGTCCCCAAGCCTGCTGAGTGGCTCCTGTTGGAGAGGTGAGGCTGCCTCAAAGGGCGGAGGGTCTGGTGCCAGCTCACACTCAGCACCCCCTTCTGCTGTGGTGGGAGGGCCGAGGACCAGCCTCCCATGCCAGGCTGTGAGATGGGGCAACGGCACCAAGTCACTGGGGTTGTCCAGGCTGGCTCTAGAAAGGGACCTCATGAAGCAGCAGGAAGGGTCCAACCATCATTATCCCCCCTCCCATCCCACGTAAGAGGTCCCGGCCGCCCATCCATGCTTGGCCCGGCGGGTGTGGGGAGGGACAGATGAGCCACGCAGCACGTCTGGCCACCCCGTTACACCGTCTGTGCTTTCCCAAGGGCTCGTTCTAATTGCCACGGTTCCTACAAGCCCTGGCTTTGGTGCAAACTAACCACGAAGTCTCAGCTTCCCTTCCCATAAAATGGGGACACCAGGCCTCACTCTGTCCATCCCCAGGACAGAAGGAAAGATGGGAAGAAAGAATGGAAGTGGCAGGTGACAAGCCCTCGTGGACTATACATGCATAACGCAGGCCGTGAGGCTTGACCACGTCAGCTGACGAGGAGCCTGCTGCCACCACAGCCTTCACGTGACCACAGACGGCCCACGAGGAGACAGAGCCAGCCACCCACGGGATTGAGATGCTGTACTTCCAGTTAGCTCACAGAGTGCGTCCCACCCAGGGCTGCGTTCCACCCCGGCCCCCGCACTGCTCTGTCCCCAGGCCCCCACCCGCCTCTGTGCCAAGCTTGAGGCCAGAGGGGCACACACTGAATGAGACCACGCGCCCGCCAGGCTGCCCTTGGCACTGCGCACGTATTTACTCATGAATCCTCACAGCCACTTGCTGAGCTTGGCATGCTTAGCATCCCCATTTCACAGATGGGAAATCGAGGCAGGAGTCCTTTTGATTTGTCTACAACGACGGGGCTGGGCAAAGCTGACATTCCTGGAGCCGACGTGTTCTCTCTCTAGCCAAGCATCCTCCCCACTCAGAGGCAGGAAGAACTGCCAGGAAGAAGGGGGCGTCGAGGCTATTTACACAGATGCTGTTTCGAGGAGAAAACGTGCAGGCTCTGTGTGTGTGTGTGTGTGTGCGTGTCTGTGTGCAGGCGCGCAAGCTGTTCTTTTGTCAGAGCCACCAGCTTTGCCACGGCCAGGAAGGCCAGGGAGGCGGTGGGCTCCCTGGATCGTGTGTGAGCCCCTCCTCATCCCAGAGTCTGAATCAGAAGAACACGACTTCCCCCACCTCCCATCTGCTGTGGGTGCAGGCTGTGCCGCGTGGGCTCCTGGCCCGATGCCAAGTGGGCCCCCGGCCTAAGATGGTGGGGGGACAATGATGCCAACACCCCCACTCAGCTCCCGGTGGGCAGCAGAATGGAGGCTGGGAGCCTGCGTTGGGGTCTGATGAGAGTCTGCTGGGCCCGGAGCCAGAGCCCGGGGTTCTAGGCCCAGCTCAGCCGCTCGTGCGCCGGGCTCCTTAGCACGCTGATGGCAGCAGCTGTCCCCACTGAGCACCCCCCGGGGGCCAGGCCCTGCATGGGGCAACTGTGCAAACATTTCTCAGTCTCGCTCAATAAGCCGGGGAAGTTAAGGAGGCCCACTTTACAGATGAGGGAACTGAGGCTCAGGAAGGTGAGGATGTCTGCTAAGGTCACACTGCTGCAAAAGTGGCAGAGCCAGGACTCCAGCCTGGCGCTCTGGGTTCCAGAACCTGTGCCCATTCCTCGGTCCTCCTTGACAGTCTGGGTCTCAGTTTGTTGATCTACCAAGTGGGCACAGTGCTGGTGGCCCTGCCTACCTGGAAGGCCAGCGGGAGAGGTTCTAGTGGCCATGAGAAGGCTGGGCAGGCCCAGCAGGCCGTGTCAGACCGCAGAGCAGGGTGGCTTCACATAGGGGGCCTGATGGGAGGGTCCTGTCAGCGTGGGGTGGCTGAGGTTGGGGGGACAGGGGGGGACCTCGTCCCCACCCGGGGTCTGCTGCCTTCCTGTAGGGAGCTAAAGGAAGGTAGGGGACTTCAGGGTCAGGGTCCCACCCTCTGCACAGCCCACCCCTGCCCGGACAGCACAGGGCCTGGCTCCAGGAACAGCAGGGCCGGGTGGAAAGTGAATACACTCCGGGGCAGCAGTGTGGGTCACAATCACCCCCCTTCCCCATCCAATCACCCCCAAGTCTTGTGTGACTCCTGCCCGGGCTCACACCCTGGCTCTACCAGCTCAGCGACCTTGTTGTGTAAGGTTGCTGTGCCTCAGTTTCTCCATTGGCCAAAAAGGGTAAAATAATACCATCTTATAGCATTGCAGTGAGGATTAAATGAGGTCATAGATACAAGGCTCTTACAGTAGAGCTGGCACCTGAAGTGCCATGTGAGTGTCACTTATTAGTACCAGGACTAACGCTACTTGAATGCCTCTTGAAGTGGCCCACCTTTCTGCATCTCCAACCCCAAATCTGTACATTGAATCATCATATCGAGAGAAAAAGCAGGTTACAGAGCAGGTGGATATCATTTATATAAAACATTCAACAGCGTGTGATGTGTGGTCAAGGGACAAACGAACAGGGGTAAACGCATGAGAGATGCACGGGGCAGGGCAAGGCAAATTCAGGACGTGTGGCCGTTCGGGGGCGGGCGGCCGGGGCTGGCACTGGGGAGGCTCTGGCAAGGCAGCTGCCGGCTGGACATATTTGGGTCTTGAGCCTGGGACCTGGGTGACATTCTCCATACCTTTTTTTCCTGTCTAAAATACTTCACACTGATTTTCCTTTAAAAATGGGGGAAAAAATTCCCACAGTGGAGAGTCTAATGGTCAAATCTGACCCTGACTCTTACCCCAGGGCCTCACTCAGCTCCTTTGCGTCTCCCTAGTCCTGGCTGCTGTCCCCTGGACTGTGTCACAGCTTCCACTGTGGCCCTC